CCTGCCCCATGGCCGGCATTGCCGGGCCAGCCCCGGCCCCTGCCTGCAGCCGGGGAGGGAAGGGCAGTGGCACAACCTGCCCACGGGTGCGAGGCCGACGCAGGCAGGGAGGTGGGGAGAGGGCAGAGACTTGGCCGACGTTGCCAGTCCTCAGCCCTGACACCTTCCTCCTGCACCGCCCAGCCCGGCGCCCACCCAGCTTTGCCAGAGCTCCTTGCTCCTGGTGCAGCTCCCGCCTGTGGGGCCCACATCCCCCCGCAGAGCAGTGCCGCCGAGGACGACCCCAGCCCTGCGGGTCTGTGCCGTTCTTGCCCGAGGACCGGGATGAAGCCAGGTGAGCTCATTTCACCTCTGGCCCACGGCAGAGTGCAAGCCCAAAGCTTCCCCTTTAACAGCCCGCCCGCAGGACGCGCAGAGCGTGAATCGGAGTGTGATGAAGTGCAGCTCATAGGCACCCTCCCTGCTGCGGAAAGACAATCTCACCGAGTTTCATGCTCCCCGGCAAACGTCCTGGCAGAGGCACCCGACCCTCCCTGGGCCGGGGCCCCCGCCGCTCCAGGGCACTGCAGGACCTTTTGTGGGCAAGCAACCACATCTGGAAGCCATCAGGCCCTGGCACTCTGGGGGCCGCAGGGTTGGAGCCCCCTGGTCCCGTTCTTTGTTGGAGCCACTGGAGCCTTCGGTCGGGCGGCAGAAGCCTCTGCCAGGGAGACACCCAATGATCTCAGCGCGGCCCCAGGGCCGGGACAGCCGCCCCCATCCTGGGGCATCCGGAGGGGATGGGCAGGGACGGGACAGACAGGGACATGACGGTGGCTGCCAGCCAAGGCCCAGGGCTCCCCCCACCAGCCTAGCATCCCCAGCACTCCCTGCCAGCCCCTACCCCAGGGTGCCGAGGAAGGGCTCGGCCCATGCAGGGTCGGGACCCCGGCGCCTGGGACCCTTCTCCCAATGCTCCCCTCCCCCGGGGCAGATGCAGGCAGCCAGAGTCCCGGGCCCAGCCTCCCCCTGTGCTATGGGACCCGCTCCATCCCCAGGGATGCCCAGACCCCTGTCCCTGCTCTGCCCTGTCCCCTTCACACTCAGTCCACTCATCCCACTCAGTTCCCAGGGCTGGGAGGGAAGGGGGCTGTTGCTGGCCCCTCAGTGGCACAGGGGCAGACAGGGGCTGGGCAGCTGCCCGCTGGGGTTTGAGCCCCTTTCCGGACTCTGCTGAGTGTGAGGGCGGCTGCAAGGGGCACGAGGCAGCCAAGCCCCACGGCCGCAGCCACAGCCATCCCGGGGGGCAGCCCACCCAGCCCAGGGGGCCTGGCCCCCGTGCAGTTGGTGAAGTATTCAGCGTGGACCTGTAGGAAGAAGGCGTCGAGGACGGCACTGGGCCAGGGGCAGGAGAGCAGCTGGGCCAGCAGCTGGGTGCAGCCGGAGAGCTCGCTGTAGGTGCTGTGGAGGGGGCGGCGTGAGGCCGACCTGCCAGGACAGGACACGTCCACCGCAGCGGCCCTGCAAAGGCCCCACTCCGAGCATGCATTTGGCTCCGCTGGGGCCTACGCCGACCCACCTGCTGATCTGGTCCCAGCGGCAGCGGCTGCCCTCAGGGGTGGCCATGACGGCAGCATGGAAGGGGGCCCAGCAGTAGAGGGAGATCCAGTCCTGGTAGGTGTCCTGGCAGCGGGCCTGCCCTCCGAGCACCTCCAGCGGTCCTGCAGAGCACCAGCCAGACCCTGGGATGCCGCCCTGCCCCCAGCTCTCCCCCCAAGCCCAGTTTCAGGGGCACTGTTTGGGGTCACCCCTGGGGAACACTCCCAGCTCTGCCCAGCGTGGGCCAGGCGCCCCGTCTGCCATGCAGGGAGTTCAACACGCAGCCCTGGGGATGGAGCTGGGGCTGACGGGGCTGCCTGTGGCCGCGGGGGCCCCACGGGCTCAGCCAAGCCGGGACCTGGGCTCTTGTGAGCCCCAGCACAGATTGCACCGGGCCCACCGAGGTCTGTGGGTGGATGGGGAGGACAGCCAGGGTCGCAGGGCAGCTCTACTCACCATCCTCGTCCAGGTACAGGTAGTGACCTGGAAGGACAAATGGTATCGTTGGCGCTGGCAGGACCTGCGGGACCATGCGAGGGCAGGGCCCTGTCTCCCGGGGGTGCACCCCCCGCCTCTGCCAGTGGCAGAGCCTGTGGCCACGGCAATGCTGCGGCAGCCGGGGCCAGGGCCGCGCTGGGATGATGGCACCAGGATCTTACCTTCGTCCTCGGAGTCCCCGTACTCAGTGTCCCCACACCCTGCAGCAAGGAGACACAGGGTACCAGGGCTGCACAGCCAGGGACAGCCCCAGTGCCGAGCTGGCTTTGTTGCACGAGCCGGGGGGGTCCCAGCACACCAGAGACGTCTCCTCCTCCCAGGCCGAGCTGAGCACAGCAGAGGTGACCAGCCCGAGGGGAGGGAAGGGGAGCAGGAGGCTCCTGGCTCTGCCTCAGCCTTTGCAACTGGGGCAGAGCAGTTTCTGAGCAAACACCAACTCCGTGGGCAGAGAAGCGCGTAGCAAACCCTGCCCAGAGCATCCTCCGAGGGGATGCCAGGAGGGGCCAGGGGAGCTGCCGCCCAGCACGGATGCGTTGGGACAGAGGGGGGGAAACAGGCCAGGGACCCTGTGGGGACTCGCTGCCCGGCCAGACCCTGTGCCCGACCCCCTGGGTGCCTCCGTGCAGCCCTGGCTGCCACCCCCGGGCCGCACCGCGTCCTGGCTGCCCTTACCCTGCTGGAGCAGAGGAAGGAGCAGGCAGCAGAGGAGCCGCACCCCGAGGAGCATCCTCCCACCGCCGGGACCGCTGA